AGTTCACAAGCGGGTTGGTTTGTTTGGGAGCTCTAAATTTGAAAGTCATGTTAATGGCAATTTGTAGTGCGATAAGTTGAACACTAGTCGTTGGACTTGTTACCGAAAGCATGGTTCAGGCACTAGGTAGAGTCGTCAGTCGAGATGAAAACATATCGTTTGACGGACCGACAAATAAATGGAAACAATATACCTTATAAAAATTAACCAATGAGACTGGAAAAATAACCATATGAGATAGGAGAGGTTTTACAAGATTATATGTGCCCCTGCTTTAAAGCAGGACACAGTTGATAAGGCATTTTTTTCTAAGGAGCAGGATGTATATACGATATCCAATTCTATTTATAATTATAATATTTCATTTCATAGTACAAACAACATTATATGACTATAAACATCGTTCAACAGGACCACAACTCATTTAATTACACGAACTATGGTTGAGTTGCGCCTTGAGACGACGAATGCCCTGACTCAACATAAGGGGAAAATGAAGAGGAAAATTCTATGACGAGCAGAGGAGTAAACAAAACCGGCTTAGGAGGATTCGGTATCGATCCAAAACTCCCTTCTAACATCTCCACAACCTTTGACATTGGAGGCCTGTTCGATGGGTTTGTCTGAATGCACCCAAACCCAACATAAATCATTTTCCGAGCAGTATAGTCATCATGAATCGTAATACCATCCATTCTCATCCTAGCAACACCATCTATTACATGCTCGTAAATTTTGTTGGGAAAAAAATTCTCTCTCGACTGGGTCATCTCGGATTGATCGAGTAGGCCGTTTTCTACGGCCATCCCAAGAACCATCATCCCGTAGCTATAAACATCCGACTTACATGAAACTTCTCTTGAAAAATTTGAGCGGTGGGATGTATTAAAATAATCCTGGCCATTGAGTTGGCCTGGCGTATATTTGGCCAGCACCTTAAGGCCCGAACCGTTGAACAAGTAGTTAGATCGGACGCACACTCGGCCCCGACATGTGTCGTTGGGAACATTCAAGTCCAAACTCTGACCCGTGTGTAAGGACGTTTATTGCTCACATTATGAATGTGCTGTAATAATAGTTCAATTGTATAAATTGTTTTTTTCGCAATTATAAGCATTTAGTCCATATATATAATATCTCGTTTCTTAATTTATGTTCAATATATATTGCATAAGATAACAATGAAAAAGAAAAGAAAATGAAGAAAGATGGAAGAAAAATAGTTACAAGTTTGAAGCATAGCACCCACATAGAAATCTCTTATATGACTGATACAACACAGAAGGGTATAAGATGTCGGTCCAAATACAGGAGAAATCATACCTTTCTCGGCCTTTTGGCTAAGATCAAGTGTAGTATCTGTTCTTATCAGTTTAATATCTGATACGTGGGCTATCGGCCCACTCGATATTAAATTAATTTTTTAAGGGGGAAGGCCCTTCAGGTAGCTTGCTGCCTGGGCCTTTGAGCGTCTCCTTTGCGTTGCACTACTGCATGGGCCTGGCGCACCCACCAAGCTGAAGTTAATTTTTTTATGGTTTTTGTTCACCCTTTGTATAGCTGCAAACTATGATATACCATTGACAATACGCATTGATTTGTTACCATATAGGCAAAGTTCGTTATTTTCCACGTGGTAACATCTAGTTTGCGCAAGCGATTTCACGTTGAATTGTCTTGAAAGTGATGAATAATACCTGTCACTTTTAGAAGTTGAATTGTCTTGAGAGTGATGAATAAATAATACCTGTCACTTTTAGTCTTTTTTGACGGAGATCTTAGGCGCCGTTTGGGAACGGCTATCTGTTCGGGTTAGGAATTGATGCGTTCAGAGCTAACGAGGAGCGTAGCCGCGAGACCGGGAGTGGAGCGGAGCGTAGCAGCGAGACCGGGTTGAAGATGCTCGACTGAGAGGAAAATAAGCTATTTTTTCCTGCCTCCCGGTGCACGCACCTCGTTTGGACAATGTTCACTAATATTCGCATCACACGTAATGATACGATTCCGGAAGCTGGTGGGACTAAATTTGAGCGGGACGTTGAAACCGTCCACTAGGGACACGTCGAAAAAATCCCCGTCATTGGATTGGCCGAGTCTATATTCGGCCAGCGTGTTTCGGGCCTACACTGTAAGCCAGATGATGGAGCTGCCCGTGGCAGTCGTCAGTCTCGCACCGGACCTGCCCCGAACCATCAAACGAGCAGGTAGTTCGGGCCCAAACTCGGGCCCCTACGCATGTGGTTGGGAACGTTCAAGTTCCAATTCTGATACGGTGTAAGGACATTTGTTGCGGACGGTGAATATGGTGGCCGTGGCATGGAGCTGGAGGAGGAGAGTTGTGGAGAAGGAGATTGATTTTGTATTTATCATGTTTGGTAATACGGATAATTATAATTGGCTGGGATAAATTACTGTAGCATGTCGATGACTCGTTCATAATTCGGGAACTTCATAATGAGCAAGTCAAACCTCTAAAGACAACATTTATTGAAATTTTATATTTTATTAAAGACAACATTCAAAAAGAAAATTATACATTAAGTTGGTTTCCAAAAAATACAATAATTATAGATTATTATGCCTAGGATTGTTAATTTTATTTTCTGTCAGTTCATTTATTTTTTTCTATCTATATATTCTTTGTTTGGAGCTGGTCGCGTCACCTACTGTCAGGCTCGTCTTATCGAGACAGTCGTACTCATTAAACTGAAGTCTAATAGAAGTTTGTTAACCCATATATTTAGAGAAACATTTATGCGCGTTTTATTTTTGGACAATTCCACATGCAGCTCTCTGTCATTGGAATTCGGGAATCTTACTCTGATACGACTATAAGTAGCAATTCAGGGAGGACCGGGTATAGGCCGAGCTTAGTCGCAGTTTGGCACGGCCGCCCGTGGAGTGAAAGAGCTCGGCGTGAGCGTCCTACGCGGCACCTTTGGAGTGAATAAGAGCCACGTAGGGGGTAGCTTGGCATGAGCATTGCAGAGGAATACCAAAGATTGATGAGCTCGGCAGATGTAATCACCTCGGCACCTAGACACCTCGGCCAAAGGGTTCCGCCGAGGGGACCAGAGTGTGGAGGTATTTCCGTAATTAAGTTATGAGAAGGTTGTCAACGTTAAGGAGTCTGAAGATTCGGAAAGATTTGACCTAATTAAGGCATAGATACTAGAAAGACTTCTTGTCCAACAAGGAGTCTTCAAACTAGGAGTAACATCGACTATAAAAGGGGCACAAGTTTATTATTTTTACACAACACACATACACATGTGAATTTACTCTCTCGGCTAATTTCTACGGACGTTGGGCTGACTTCAGTGTCAGAGTGTTTTTTTGCTGGGTCCCCTCCCGGAGATTTACCGGTCATCGCAGGCATCAAGGCAGTTCAAACCAGCTAGGCGCGATTCAACCCGACCGAGGTACAATTTGCGCAACATACTCCTTTTGTTTTGACTAGTAAAGTGCACGTTCATCGCGTGTGGCGGTGAATGTTTTTTGCCGATTAAATTTAGTAAAATAAATTAATTAATTTATTAAACATATCATTGCAATAATGAAGTAAAATATAGAACAAATGAACTTCTATTTTTTTTTAAAAATAACATAATAATGTCCTAATATAAAAAGAATAACATATTCACCCCCAACAAAAATACAGTACAAAATATATACTAAATAACTAAGGACTTAATGTTTATTATAGATGCATTAGGTATTTTATTTAATTATGTAGTGCTGGGATCTCACTAACATGTAGATGATTAAAGAGTATTTTTTTTTTTTTTTTTTTTTTTT